CATGCAAGCAAACCAAATGGGGTGGGCGTCTCTAATTATAAAACTAGGAAGGAGGGCGCTCAGGCACTTATATGGTCTCTAGAGCCTGAAGAACATCGGCTTTCAAGTCCTCAAAGGCCTCCACTCCAAAGCTAAACCTAACCAGGTTGTCCATAATCCCATACTTGGCCCTTTCTGACTGCGAAAGATCCCTGTTTTACAAACATATCAATGGAGAATGTGTGCGCCTCTCAGATGTGTATTTTATAAAGCCGTTGTCTATGTACTCCGTATTTTAGAAGATTAACGTACCAATAGGACATAATGGCGGGCTGGTCCACGATGCTCTCACAACCACCAAAGGATGGGGCAATGTATGGAATTTTCAGAGCATCCACAAACTTTGCAGTGGTCATCAGGTCGCCGTCAATCTAATCAATCACTTGATATTAGCCTATGATAGTAGTGCCTAAAATGCACAGAATACAAATCAAATATGAATAGATGGTGGCCTGAAAGCTTAAAAATCGGACCTCAAAACTGACAACACCCCCAAATCCAGTCATTTGCTTCTTCCCTATATGATGTTCTGGGTGGCTTGGCAAGCCCAAATAGTAGACGCGTCTCACCTGCAAAACTCATCACTTTTCAAAGAAATGCATAATCATGTTGAACACATTTAGAAAATGAAAACTAACTTTGTCCCACAAAAAAGAGTCATGTTTGACAGAGGTACAACTTTTAAATTTTGGTACTTCCACCATTTCCAACTTGTACTGCAAATTCCTAGCAGGGGATAGAGGAAGTATATGATGTACAACTCTCATAAAGTATGACTGATGATTCACACATATTTTATCTACAATGTTCAACTTAAATTTTTTATGTATACTTTACAACTCTCGTGCGTTAACTTGTAACTGACTACCAAACCCTAGCACGCTAAAGAGAAAATTTTCTTCTCTTCTAGATTTGAGTCTACCTTTCCATCAAGTTTTGTTCGTTGCCAGAAATAGGCAAGATGTAGATCTAAACATCAATCTCTTGAGAATGAGGGCATCTCAGATCTCATCTTTTCTGCTGAGGTTTTTTTGAAGATGCAAGTTCATCTTCCACCTCATTATTTATGTTTCGAGATCTGTTTTTCGTTTTGTTCTCTCGTTTTGTGCAAGTTTTTTCTCTCGTCTATGTGCAAGTTTAGAAATAGGTTTTTATTGGTCTCTTGTCATTTCATTTTCATATCTGATCATGTTCTTATCGCAGAGTTCAAGTGTGATCGAAAATCAATGAATCAATGACTATGGATTCTGATTCTATATCTAGTTTATGCATGTATTGGTATTTTGAATCAATGAGAATGAATTGTTTTTAAAAGAAAATTCTTATTGAGTCTTCCATTGGCAAATCAGTCAAAAATAGATTTGTTTAATCAATAGAAGCATAGGATTCTTTCTGGGAAAAAATGATACTGGAACAAGATTCTTATATTGGACAAATCGAGTAATTCATAAGGATATTCATGGGTTGCCAATTCACTACACATGACAAAGCTCTTCGGTAACATTAGGTTAAGAAATTCACGACCTTGTGCAAACAGAATCATTAAAAAACTCGTGAAGTTACAAAATAGAGTTGAAAAGATCCAACCAAAATACCTTAGGATGGGCCTCCAAAACTTCGGCCATCCTCAATGCCGTTAAGTTTTGTTGCTGTACACGAAGATGCAGCGTTTTCAAGCCTCGGATGATAAGATATGCAGCATTCTAACAAATAAACAAAAAACATATAATAAATAACTAAGTTAGATATAAATCAAGCACATAGAGCAAAATGCAGCATGGGAAAACGAACTGATGCACCATCTATACCACAAGCTTTCATAATTACAGAGCATACTCTATTTAGATAACCATAGCTTTGCTCAATAAGAACACTTACTGGATTGAGAGTACCACCAAGGATATGATGCAAGTTACGAACTGCCGAAATCAACTTCTCAGGACCACTGATGCATCCTGCCAGGACCTGCAACAATACACGGATTTGGATGAGATGAAACTAGTCAAGGCATGAAGGATAGGGAATGCAACAACTAAAAACTAGCTGACATCAGCATACATCATTATGTCCTCCAATGAATTTTGTTGCAGAATGAAGAACAAGGTCAGCCCCAAGGGCTAAGGCCTTTTGGTTCAGAGGAGTCGCAAATGTTCCGTCTATACAAACCAAGGCCCCCTTTTTGTGGCAAAGCCTGGAAAGCAGCTCAATGTCAACGCATCTGAATAATGGATTGGTTGGTGACTCTGTGAAAAAAAGGCTTACCTGAAGAGAACTCCACTAATCAATAATATGGACTATTAAATAATATTGTACTCATACACAACGACACAAGTTAAAAAGAAAGTGATAGTGATTACAAATACAGACTTTATTTTCATGTAATGCAGACTCCAGACCATCCATGTCAGCAGGGTCAATTACAGTGGCCTGCATTCAAAATGTGACACTCAATAAGAATGAATGGAAGGTGGAAGAGGATGCTACAACTAGCATGAAGTTGTAACCCATCGTTCATCTCACAAATATAGTTTTTCTTCTTTAATGGATGTCCATTTAATTTTTTATTTCCAACTTTTCACCTGCTTAATCATCAATATTAAAATTCAATGCCACTCCTACATAGAAAACTACTTAAACGTTAAAGATAGAGATTGCACATCAAATTGATAGTTCCAACTAACTTAGCAATCATTTCTTATTTTGTGCGCAAAAAACAGTGGCATACCTTTATAGAATAGATGGCATAATTACATTATTATTTTTATTATTATTGAATAAATAATAATAATTTTATTATTATTATTATCACCATCATCATTATTGTAGAGGTAAATTGTGAGTAGTTTCTTACTGTGATCCCCATCTTAGGAAGTATTGTCTCAATAAAAATCCTAGTCTTTCTATAGCAATCGGTGGTGGTGACAATATGCCCTCCAGCAGGAACCAAAGCCAGCAGCATTAAAGTACTAGCACACATTCCTGATGCCACTAGCAAGGTTGATTCAGCTCCTTCCAGTGCACTGTTACAGATTTGAAAAACCAAGTGGCCTCAAACCATGAATTTGCATAATAAACACCAGCATAAGTTACAACTTCAAAATCCAAAATAAAAAACCTTATCTTCTCTTCTGCAACAACAGTAGTAGGGTTTCCATAACGCCCATATTCAAAACTTGCACGTCTTTTCTCCTGTCAGAGATCAGATCAGCAGACTAAAATTAGCGGTTGCAACAAACCAGGATTTCCATAATAAATTACCCCCATTTTCAATAGTGCAACACTGTCCCTAATTACAAAGTTCAGCCCACTCAAAAACTTAGCCTAGAACTTCATAAAGAGGCTTGGCTTTTGTACTATGCAGGGATGTATTTGACAAGCATTAGCTCTTGCAACAGCTTTCCAACCTAATTAATGAGGCAGGCAGCAAATACCTTAAAATCAATCAGCTCAGAAGTTTTGTTGAAGTAATAGGCAGACGTGTTAACAGTTGGAGTAGTTATTGCATCGGTCACAATACCACGCCCCAATCTTTCACCTGCAGAAAAGAGGAAGTTACTACTCAAACTTCAATCCATACAGGCAACATGCAATCATGTAATCTGAAAATTCTCAATGCAGTGAATTACTATAATATACTACTCAATTCCCATTGAAGCTCAAACTTTGAATTCACATATTTTTATTCAAGGCAACTTTTGGTAATGACTTCCAAATATGCCCCTCAATTAAAAAAATTGGTGAAGCAACATGCTAAACTTTTTCGTGGAGGGACAACTTTTGAAGGAGCATTCTTATCTTTTTCTACCTCAGATATTAACTAATATGGAGGTGTGAGATAAATTTGGAGACATCTAAACCTTTGCAACCTTTCTTTAATGTGGGGCAAACCACAATGCACCAAATCAGGAGCCATTGCACCAAAATCATGGAATGTAAATAGTGGACCATCAAATTTTGGTAAGAGACTATCCAAGCACCCATATTTATATTATAGAATTTGTAGGGGAGAATGCACCTAAAGTGGCATTGAGATAGAATACGGAGTATAGTTCTTCTTCTGAAAGAATTATTATTAATGGATTGTGATGAAAACAATAAAATGATGTAAAGGGCTGGATATGGATACATCATCCACATTGCAACTCATTAACACTGAAGGTAATGGCTTCAGTATTAAGTATTAAATCATCTGTAAAGAAGTTTCCCAGCTCAAGGGGATCAGAAACAGCTGGTTCAATTTTCTTACTCCTTAAAATTTGGGCCCAAAGACAATGTATGAAATACTTCCTCGTTCATGCAAAAATCTTCACTTTTCCTTTTTTGTCCGTCTCAAAACAACAAAATGTCAACGAACCAATTCAACCAAAAAGAGAGGTTTACTTATGCTTGATTCTTACACGTGAAAATTAATTTTTCTTAACTGGATGACCGTGAGGTTTGAACTTGTGACATCTTGGATGTCAAGGTAACCAATTCAACCAAAAACTTGAGCTTGTGGTTGTAGGACCAACGTAGATTTTATACTCTAACACAAAAATCCTCACTTTTTCCTTTTTCTCCTGAGTACGAAAAGAAACTTATCTTTCTTCTAAGAAAATATGTGGGTCAGAAAATGTCTAACAAATTTTATAGACACTTAAATTTTTCACGGGATGGAGGTAGTAGGTTATTTTTAAAGAGAACTTATCAATATTACATGGCCTAATCTCAGAATGAGTACACAATAAACGGAATGCATAAGCATTAGACTAAAATCTAAACGAAAAAAGAGAAGAATACCAGCATGAACTGCAAGGCTCCCATCCGAACTCAAAAATGAAGCGTAATTCTTCACACGGGTAAAATCCTGAACCTGTACATTTCGGTCACTACAACTACCATTCTCCGCCAGCTGCGCCTCCACTGATACAGCGGAAACCTGAGGCGGCGGGATGGAGGCGGCGAGGGAAGCATCGGATGCCTTGGCCGCCGGAGGAAATCCAGACGCAGCGGTGTTGTTGGCCCAAGAAGCCGCAACGATTTGAGCCACGCCGATGTTGCTGCAGTTCCTCCGAGCCTTGATGCTGAGCTGCCTCACGAAGTTGGGAGGGAACCTGAAGATCGGAGAAGAAGAAGAAGAAGAAGAAGAAGAAGAGAGAGCGCGAAGTCTAGATCTTTGACTCGGTGAGTTGGGACGGCCGGAGAACTCGTTACGCGGAAACCGGCCGGAGAAGTCCGGGTCGGAGCGGCACTCGAAGGAGGGAAACACCGTTGGGCAGCAGCTAGAGAAGGCCATGGGCAAGCAAGCTAGAGTCAGATCTGCCCTCTCTCTCTTCTCCCTGAAAATGTGAAGAATCGTTAGTGGAGGGGTTATAAGCTCTATCTAAATAGAGATTATAGATATATAAAATTTGAAATTTGTACTAAATAATACTCCGTACTAAAATATACAGACTACAGAGTACTTTATTCGTCTAAAAAAACTCTTTTTTTCTCTTTTCATTGTCTCAAATAATTCTTATTTTTTTTATTAAAAAACTATTTTTATCCCTATTAATTTTTAATCACTTATCACATCACATTTTTCTCAATTCTTAATCTACTCCTCTCATCATTTTACTCATCATATCAAATTTCATTTTTGAAAAGTCAACATTAAAATACATTCTTCTTAAATCTTTTAAAAGTCAAAATGGGAGATTTTTGCGGGACAGAGGAATTATAACATTTTCCAATGTAGCACTTAAATTTTTTTATTCTCTAAATAGTACTCCCTCTGTTCTAAAATTACATTCTCAGTTACTATTCACATAGTCAAACTTAAATCACTTTCTTTACCTATTTTCGCTACTTATTTGATAAATAATATAGTCTTGTCACACTACAAGAATTTATCTGGTCTGCAACGAAAATCTGCTACGAACACATATCCGTAGCAGATCTGCAACGAATCTGCAACGGAAAAATAATTTCTGGAAAAAGGAACATTATTGCGACGCAAATGCACTTTCCCTAGCATATCTGCGACGGAGTCTTGCAACGGATGTATTTCCGTCGCAGATAATTAAATAACCTCAGGTTTTTCTCTTCTCAATCTACATACGAAATCAATTCACAGATCCGAGCCCAGACATCTTCCGTCCACCCAAGACGCATCTCCTCCACGGCTTTCCTTGACCGCCCGCCGCCGCCGCATGCTTGACGCTGCGGCACTAGTCCCCCTCGCCTCGCCGTCGACCGCGCCGCGAGTGTCTCCCTCCAAGCCTCGCCTTCGACCGCCAGTGTCTCCACCCCTTGCCTCCAGTGTCTCCCTCCCTCCTCGCCGCCGCCGCCATGATCTCAACCCCTCGCCGCCGCCAATGTCTCGACCACCATCTTCCTCCACCAGACCTCCTCTTTTTCTCAAGGTATTTTTTAAAAATTTTATACAATTTATTATTATTGTAATTTTTTGTGAAATTGAATTTGTTTGTGTGAAATTTAGTGCATTTGTGGTGAAATTTAGTTCAAATTATGTGAATATGAGTTTAAATTGATATGAAATTGGGTAAAATTGTACTACTTTTTTGTGAAATTGATAGCATTTAAGATGCTATAAAAAATAGACCTCTTCTTGTATAAGGATCGGGTTGTTAATGTTGCTGGAAAAATTGTTGCACGATATAAGAACACTTATGGAAACTATGATTCAGAAGCCTGCGTTCTTTTTGATAAGCAGAATGACTTTGAACCTGTAAAGATGAATAATAACATGAGTATGTCGAGAACATAGCTGGGTTTACCAGCATATTCGTCACTTGAAATTGATCTGGACTTGAGGGACTTCAACACAAACAGAGAGCTTGTTAGAAAAAGAGTGGAATTGTTAGACTGGAAGGGTTTATATGCAGGTAACTATGCAGTGGCTGTGGATGGGTTTGCCATTATTGTGGATGCGGGAAATTTTCTGTACCGTCCTATTAAGTGGCGTCACTGGAGTGGTTCAGAAGAAGATGAGGTATTTAGTTCTCTTAAAGTAAAGACTCAATGCAAAAAGAAGTCCAACATGGCTCAAGCCACTAAATTATGAAACACTATGAACTCAAGATAAAAATAGGAGTTATAATTATTTGAAACACAAAATTCCCCTGCCTAGATAGGGACACAAGTTAGTGGATATCGTATAATAATCGCAGTTTTTTTTACTGATTTTGGCAATAAAGGTAGCCATGCGTCAAGGGTTTAACAACCCCCAAGATAATGTTGTGTACATTTGGACCCCAAGATCCCAATAGAGTTTGGATAATGTAATGGGTTTGTTTTTGTTTCTGTCAGCCAAGGTTTTGTTTTAGTTCAGGTTCATCTTATTGTCTATTGCCAACACTACAGAAGTATTGTTAAAAGTGGCAACATATTACATTAAAAATGCGTCACATTAGTTTGATATAGTTAATTTTACATCACGCTTTCTCTAACAGCTTGTCCTTTATCTGCAGCCTGATAATGAATCATCATCAACATCATCATCGTCTAACAATGACAACCCTCGGTTTGTGATTCTTTCATTTGTGCACTTGCAATACATTAGCTTAGTCACTTTTTAAAGTGTTTATTGGTTTATGAATTTGTTATATACATTAGGTGCCATCATCATTGTGAAGAAAGTAAACTGTATTCATCAGAATTAACAGAAGTCTACTCAATCTTCATCGGTCGTAAAAGAAAGAAGGCATTGAAAATTTTGGGCACGGTTGAGTTGTCTTCTGAATACCATAGTACTCAGCACTATGTATTCAAGAGTACTAGTAATGATGGGGTGGAAGTAGAAAATTCACAGAAAGTTTACCAGTGATGGGTGTGCATATGAGTTCTGTGTATATGACTTTTTACGCGTCTAGCATGCTGGATTTAAAGGTCAATCTAGAAGATGTCTTTGGGAAATAGAGGTTTTGCTATGATTATGGAACGGGAGGTGTAGGGCAGCCCGAGATTTGTTGACACCTTTGAGATTTGACACTAACACTTTAATATTTAGTGTTTTTACAATATTATAAATTATGTTACATTTGCACGTTAAGTTTTCATTAATCTAGTTTTGAATTATGTATTTTGTATTGATATCTTGTTTAGAATTATGTGTGAAAATTGAATGTGTTTTGCCCCCAATTTTAATATCTACTCCCATAAAACAGCAAAAACTAGTGGCTGCGATCAGGCGGTCTGCGACAGAGTAGTACATTGCTGATTTTGTCGCAGATCTGCAACGGTGTGTAGACTTCCGTTGCAGATTTTTTGGGTTGCAAAAATAGACGAACCCGTTGCAGGTCCGTTGCAAATCTGCCACGGATTTTCAGTTCCGTCGCAGATTTTAAATCTGCCACAAGTTTTCTACGACGGATTATTTTCGTTGCAGGTCCGTTGCAGATTCGAAATCTACCACGGAATTTCAAATTCTGCAACAGAAATTGTCCGTGGCAGATCGACAGTTTTCTTGTAGTGTCACCTCTCGTTTTGTAGAACTTTTGATGTAATTTTTAAATATGTAAATTTTATTTTTTTAATTTTACACCTACAATCAAATAAATTGAATTGAAAATAAAGTCGGTCAAACCTCGTAAACACAAATGAGAATGGTTTTAGGACGGAATGAGTACTTGAATAATGTCTAGTGACAGGAACAATATCCAATGATGATATTTAGTTTGAACAACGCCAAGTGGCGGTGGACATTTACTTGAACAATAATCAATGTTAATACATTGGGAAATAAAAACAGATGACACTACATTGGAAAGTAACTATTATTTTAGTACTATTTAAATAAATTTTTCCATATAAAATATGGAGTATACTCCCTCCATGTATTTATAGTTAATTATCCATTTTTACCTTTGATCTGACAAGTAAAATTAGAATATGATGGATAAGTTTTTAATTAAAAAATATGATGCGCTAGCTAAAATAAGAAAAAGTATGGATAAAAGCAATTTTGTACTCCCTCCGTCCCAAATTATAATGCATGTTTACTATTCACAGGGTCAAACTTCATTCACTTTCTTTCTCTATTTTCGTTAGCAATTTGATAAAATAAAATATTATTGTCACTATTAGTTTTGTAGATCTTTTTTGATCTAGTTTTTTAATATGTAATTTTTATTTTTTAATTCTATACCATTTGTCATATAAAATGGTTTGAAAATAATTTCAGTCAAACATCGTAAACCGAAACAGGCGTTATAAAATGGGATGGAGGTAGTAATAAATAGTGGAAATATTTTGGAGAAAGAAAAAATAAATGAAAAAATGTTTTAAAAAACCGATGGAGTATGTGTTTACCTTTATTTACAATTGGGTTACACTTTTTTATAGACATCTATCATTTTTTAGTGAAATATTTTTTGTCTAAAAAAACTCCTAACTACTTTTCAAATGTCAAATCAACACTACTTTTTTATATATTTTTGTCGATCATTTAATAAAAAAGATAACTTTGTCCCCACTTGTCTTATAAAATTTTTTGATATAGTTTAAAAATAAATTCTTTCAAACATAGTAAATTGAACAAGAAGTTTATTTTAGAACAGAAAGAGCATAAAAAAGTAAAGAAGGTGCGGGTTGGTCCGATAAATTGGTTTTGGATTGGGTAGCCTTGTTAGGCTAGCTACTTGGCTATGGCTTTTCGGACTTGACTTCAATGACTCGGTGATGATTGGCTCCAAACTTTGAGAACTATGGTGTGGGGCACAGGGAGAATGTACTCAAGCGGTAGGCTTCAAATAGAGATAACCAAAAAGATCGTTCCTTTTAAAAGATCCGTATTATTTAGAAGGGCAAGGTTCCCATGACATTGGACCGGTCCTAACCGGACTATCCGGTTCCAAAATGTCCCTATTTTTTCATGAAGACTTGACTAGTCTGGACTGAATTTTAAAGAAGATCTGACCGATCCATTCTAAATACACCTTGGTTCTAATGACATTGGGAACCAATGTCATGGGATGACCCGGGGGCGCTCCGGTGCCCCGTTCGTAAAATTGACGGTTCCTACCCCCCGATAAACCCCCCCCACCCCGCCCCGACCCGAACGTACCCCCCCACCCCCTTCAATTGCACCCCACAAGTTGATTTTTGACTCCAAAGTCAAAATTGGACCGGTCCTAACCGGGGGTAGGAACCGTCAATTTTACGAACGGGGTACCGGAACGCCCCCGAGTCATCCCATTACATTGGTTCCCAATGTCATTGGAACCAATGTGTATTTAGAATGGATCGGTCAGATCTTCTTTAAAATTCAGTCCAGACTAGTCAAGTCTTCATGAAAAAATAGGGACATTTTGGAACCGGATAGTCCGGTTAGGACCGGTCCAATTCTTAATATGTAAAATTCTTACATTTTTGTTCTTCAAAAAAGTACTCATAAAAAATAAAATAAAAGATCGTATTTTTAGTTATTTAATTTATACTTTATCGATTTATACTTCGTAATAATTATGTAACATGAATATTACTCTTTCTGTCCCAAATTATAATGCATGTTTATTATTCACATGGTCAAATTTCATTTACTTTCTTTCTTTATTTTCGTTAACAATTTGATAAAATAAAATACTATTATCACTACTAGTTTTGTAGATCTTTTGATGTAGTATTTTAATATGTAATTTTTATTTTTTTAACTATATACCATTCGTCATATAAAATGATTTGAAAATAATTTTAGTCAAACATCGTAAATTGAAATATGTGTTATGAAATGGGACGGAGGGAATATTGGGTGAGGTGGAAGTTGGATAGAATTAACAAAAAAATAAATTTAATATATATGGAGTATGTTTTATAGGTATGAGATTTTATCACTTCTTTCTAAATTTTAAATAAAATTGTGTAATGCACTATGTTCTATATTGATAGGATAAATATATTCCTATAAAAATTAAATTTTAAAGTATAAATATACATGTATAAAAGTTATATTTCAAATACATTATATCTTTAGTCATAGTCTGGTCCCGGTTTAGTTTATTGAAAAAGACCATCTGATCCGGGACCGGTCTCGTCTTTCATAAAAAATCAAGGACCAAATAAGACTACCGGTCCAAGTCCGAACCGGTCTCAATGACTACATTGGTCCTGTTTTTCCGGTTTCAATCCCAATCTATCTTGACCAATCTTTTCGGACTAGTCTTTGTGTTCATCACTAACTCCGAAGAAGTAATAAATTCATCTTGAAAAATTACGAAATAAATTACTCCCTCCGTTCCACTAAACCATTCCTCTTTCGTTTTTTTTGCTTTCCACAAAACACTTCCACTTTCTATTAAAAAACCACTTTTACCCCTACTTTTTCATACTCTACCTATCACATCATACTTTATCACTAATAACCAAATTATCACATCTTACTTTTTCCCATCACATCGGGAGCAAAATTGGAAAGTCAACCAAAATTACACTTTCCTTATTTTTCCCCAAAGTCAAAACCGGAAGAGTTTTGTGGAACGGAGGGAGTATAAATTTGAAACGAAAAGGTACCAAATAGTAAACATCTCACAAAAAGTCAAAACAAATCAATAATTGGTCCAAATCAAACAATTGATTCAAGATTTAGGAGCAATACGAGATAATTTCTCATACTAAAAATTTCAAACCAAGCATATATCCTACTAATAATATATTAATTTTTAATAATTCATATCGAATTGTATTAGGTGCGAATTATATTTTATTTAAGTTTAACTTCCTATAGATAAATCTAAAGATATTAGAAGAATTTAAAATACAAATTTATTTGATGGAATTTAATCCACGGGGGTATGTTAAATACATATCAAATATAATCAAATAATAATATAATAAATACGAACAATATAAAGAACACACAATGTTTACATGTAAACTTAAATTGGAAAAAAACCGTGATTTTTGATGCAATACCATTACTAAGAGGATATTTTATTATTTTATTACTAATAGCGGGACATTTGTATAACATATTAGCTTGATAGCCATCGATAGAGCTCTAGTCTCTATAAGGAAGATGATGAATATGAGAGAGATGGTGTATTGTATATTTGTATGTTGAGAGACTACCATTTCTTCATGCCTTCAAGTGTTATTTATAGTGGAAGAAGAGTCTAGGGTTAGAATTTTTCTAATGGGCTTCTCCCATGGAACATGCCCAATATCTCACATGTCCAGGGGCTAAGGGTATAATCTCATCATTGTTATTTTTTATCGAAAAGGAGGGCAAAGAGCCCAAGACCTCAATATAGGTTCCTTGCACACACCATGCCCAACAACAAGTCGTTTTATCTTCATCCAGAGCCTAAAACACATCATTAGATGGGGTTTCAAAGTCTTTCCACTCAACCCATTTTATTTCATCATTGTTATTATTCTTTTTATTTAGTTTAATTTGTGAAATATATGAAGTAAATATGTATTCATCCCGGTCCTATTGTATTTGTTCAATATGATTTTTTTGAATAAAATAGACAAATTTTAAGTTCCAATTACTTTTAATTTGTATTGTATTTTAGTATAATGAAATTAAATTTTGAAATTTTTTAACAAGATAAATCTAATAAAATAATTTTATACTAATATAAATTATAAACTTTATTTAATTAAATCAAAGTTGATCTAATTTGATTCAAACTGGATAAATACATGATGGAGAAGTATTTGTACATACATATCTATTTCAATTTATACCAACGTCAAACTATCTCGAATTGATATTTTGGGATTTGGGTCAATACAACGTAAATTTTTGTATGGAAGTGAAACACTTGATATTGTATCTAAATACCGTAATATGCTGATGTTATACGCTCGGTTGAGCTAGATTTCGGGCCGTCAAGATGTTATATTATGAGAATCATTCAAAAAACTTTTCAACATTATTTTAAAATGCATTCAAAAAAACATAATGTCTTAGTATACTCTACGTGTACTCAATTCATTTGAACGCTGCAAATTACAACGATCATATTTCAATATATATAAAAATTAAGATAAATTTAAAAACGTTCTCTGTCCTAGAATTAATTACGGTTTTTTTTCTTACACCTCTCGATAACTTTTACTTAATTGTGAGTTTTTATTCATTATTTGATAAAACAAAATATTATTGTCACCACCTATTTCGCAGATTTTTGACTTAATTTTTTATTATATAATTTTTATTTTCTTTGTTGATATACCACTTTGTAAATAAATAATTTTAAAAAAATAAAAAATTTTGACTTGTAAATTCTAGTTTGTAATTAAATTTGGGACGGAGAGAATACTATATATCCTTTATATATATACATACACACACAAATTATATTAAAATCTTGACATTCTAAAATACATGGTCTAATAAAATTATTTTATTTCATGAAATAGGTAGGGAGTAACTTTCAACATTGTTATTTTAGGAGGATTCAATTTGTGTCCCGTTTGATAGATCAAAGAGACAAACTATACCATGGGAAAGACTTAAGAGTATGCGTAAATGACATGCCGAATCCGAAGCTGCGGAGATTTCCGAACTTTAAAGCGAATACACGCTCGGTTGATCATCAACGGCTTCAACTCCGACCGCCACGCTCTCCGACAACTCGTTTACGTCTCTGCGGTGGTTCTCTCGACGGCGATTCGCTATGCCCACAAACTGTTCGACGAAATTCTCCAACCAGACCTCTTCATGTGGAACACGATGCTCAGAGGCTCTGCCCAGAGCCGCAGACCATCTCTCGCCGTATCATTGTACGCAAAGATGGAGAAACGCCACGTGTGCCCGGATAACTATACCTTTCCGTTCTTGCTCAAGGCCTGCACAAGGCTTTCTTGGGTGAAAACAGGGTTTGTAACTCACGGAAAGATTGTAAAACATGGGTTTGAATCCAACAAGCATGCTAGGAATTCCCTCATACATTTCCATTCCAATTGCGGGGACATAAAGATTGCAAGTTGGCTCTTTTACGGTTTTGCGGCGAGGGACGTAGTTGCTTGGTCTGCTCTGACAGCAGGCTATGCCCAGAGAGGGGAGTTGGATGTCGCGAGGAAACTGTTCGATGAAATGCCGATGAAGGACTTGGTGTCTTGGAATGTGATGATAACTGGATATGTGAAACAAGGGAAGATGGATAGTGCAAGAGAGCTCTTTAATATGGTTCCAACAAAGGATGTCGTGACATGGAACACACTGATCTCCGGCTATGTTCATTCCGGCGAGCATAAACAGGCACTGGAGATGTACGAGGAAATGAGGAAGGCAGGGGAACAACCTGATGAGGCAACCATGTTAAGCCTTTTGTCAGCCTGCACCGACTCAAATTCTCTGGATGTTGGTAAAAAGATTCATTTCACAATCACAAAGATAATCGGGACAGATGAATTAGGTGTCTTTCTTGGAAATGCACTCGTAGACATGTATGCTAGATGTGGGAGCATCAAGAACTCATTTCAAGTGTTTCAAAGTATGAGAGAAAAGGACGTTTCGACTTGGAATCTCATCATCAGAGGGCTAGCTATCAATGGTCACCCTAAAGATTCAATCTTTCTCTTTGAGCAGATGAGGAGAATGAAGCTGGCACCAGATGAAGTCACTTTCATTGGAGTACTAGTAGCTTGCAGTCATTCTGGAAAAGTGAACGAAGGGCACGAATACTTCAAAACGATGAGAGTTGAGTACGGTATTGAGCCGAACATCAAACACTACGGATGCATGGTTGACATGCTGGCGCGTGCTGGGATGCTGCGCGAAGCCTTTGAGTTCATAGGTGGAATGGAGATTGAGCCGAATGCCATCATTTGGAGGACTGTGTTAGGGGCTTGTAAGGTTCATGGTCAAGTTGAGCTAGGGAGGGCTGCAAATGCGCAGCTGAGAAAAATAGGAACAGGGGAGAGCGGCGATTATGTGTTGCTCTCTAACATATATGCTTCGCGGGGCGAGTGGAGTGGCGCCGAAAGCCTGAGGAAGGAGATGGATGTTAGTGGAGTCTGGAAACAGCCTGGTTCTAGTCTCATTGAAGCAGATGAGAAAGCTTTCTTTAGCTTCTTGTTTGCTTGATTTATTCAGAATCTAAAACAATGTAAACAGGTACTCTCCCTACCAATTTTACATTGATTGTTTTTCCTTTTGGTTTGTCCCAATTCCTCCCAAATTTCCTAGCATTTTTTCTTAAATAGAAAACAATATTCAAGTCATATTTTTTTTTCTTAAATGGAAGACAAGAAAAATAAAATGAAGCAAGCTACTAGGGTAAACACAATAAATTTACCCCCTTAACATGAGACGCTTCCCCACCGGAATCTGAATGTTCCTCGGCAATCATCAATTCATCATCTTGAGAAGGCAAAGCCTCGCGTGAGGAAACGAGGGAGAAGTGTAGCCAAGAATGACTTGCCAATCATGTTCATCTCATGTCCATGAATATATGAGAGGTGTTTGCCGCCACGGCTACCGGCAAGTCATCCTTGGCTGCACTCCCCACCCTTGTTTCTCTCATGCAAGACTCTTTCTCATACAAAAAATAAAAGAAAACACAAACATGTAATTTCTTAAACGAAGCAACAAAAAAAATGTACAGCAGTGGTTTGCTAGGAATGGCAACCCCATTTCATTGATTAATAAGAAATGGGAGAGGGTATAACTGGAAATTTCCTAGCTGCAGCTATGCATTATATTCTGTGTAATGACCAAAGAGAAAAATAAGAGTGCACAAAAAAAAAAAGAGAAAAAAAGGGTAAGACATAACCATCCACTGTCAATTCTAAAGATAATACTGTATATGTGCAAAGTATTCTGCCTTTGCTCTTTGGTGTGCAAAGTATTCTGCAACTTGGGTACCCCAAGCTTTATTATTCATAAGTTTATGTACATTAATGATTTGTACTGGCACACTGGTGACACACACTGGCACAAAATGGCAGTGTGAATTTTTGCGATCACTGACATTTTAAGCTAGTATATGTATATGTCATTAGTGTGCTAGTGCAAAAAAAAAAAGCAAAAAGCATCAAGAAGTTAAATATGGAAGTCCATAGATACATTGAGAGTTGCTTCCCAGCAATTGCTTTTTGTACTTTCTTTCCCTCTGGAGTTAGGTGATCAAATTAAATTTACTTCCACTGGTCTATGTGTATTTATTATGAGGAAAATAACTCATCACTGATCACTCCGTATTTCAGTACTCCCTCAGTCCCTCTACCTCGGGGTGAAATTTCAAAGTGAGTGGTTATGTTCCATTGAAGTTATTTTCAATTCTATTTATTTAAAATTTAGTTTTAGAGTGCACATTTAAAATTTAGATCAAAAGTTTTACAAAATTAGAGAAGATTTCATGTTGTATCTGATACAATTTGATAATAATTTGTTTTGTTAAATAATGAAGGATACATCCTTATATATAGGGATTACAACAGAGAATTATAATAATAATACAATAAGAAAATAATATACTCCGTAATAAAGAAGGTAATTATTAATAATACTTTATTTCCTATTATCCCCCCTCGCAAACTGATCAACGGAGACGAGAGGCAGTTTGGAGCGTAAGTATTGGAATGGAGCTCGCAGAATTGGCTTCGTGAGAATATCTACTAATTTCTCAAAAGATGGCACATGATGCGGAGTCATGGTACCGGTCATGACTTCATCTCGCACAAAATGGCAATCTGAACCAACATGTTTCATACGATCATGTAGAACTAAATTTTTGGTCGCACAAATGGTAGATTCATTGTCACAATAAAGGTGAGGTTTCGATGGAGGGATACAAGTATACAACATCAGTAATATACCGTAGCCACATAGCTTCTGCCAGGCCTACAGCCATAACACGATACTCAGGCTCAGACTGCTCAGTGGAAGGTCAAGAGACACGAGTTTGCTATTTTGTACACCAAGATATGAGATTAGAGCCAAGGAGTATGTAACCAGTGGTAACTTGCGATCATTTTTGTTAGTGGCCCAATCAAAACGAGAAGCACACTAATATTTTTTTATTAAATTATCGAGTTCCGATCAGGAGTTCCCAATGGTCATACTGAGATTAAAATTCTTTTTTTTTTGAAATTGTTTTTAGTATCTTTTTAGGTCCATTGAGTGCGTAGCTGGGTTGAATCAGCAAAGTTGAAGAGTGGGTTTAAAGCTTGGTATTATTTTTTAGTTGTAAAATCACCCGTAGTAGTATATTAACTCGTGTCATAGTAAAATAAATTTGTTTTTGATTTTATTAATAAAATCATATTCTTTTTCCGACACGCTAATATGATTGTCTTCTCTTATTGACTAAAAAATTTCTTTCTCCCGTATTATTAAAAAATAAGAAAAAAATATGCTCACAGTGATAGGTCAGTTGGTCGAGTGCCATTGATTTGCGTGGTTGCAGCATGAAGCTGTGAAGCAACCCGTGGTCATGGCCATGAAAGGGAAGGCTCTAATATTTTTATTTTTTTTAGTATTTTTTTCATTTCATTCAATTTTATATTGTAATAATCATTTTGATCATAATTTTTTATTTGCAAATTACTATTTGACAAATAATATCTCGTTTGAAATAATATCTACCAATTTTTAGAAGATGGAACATGATGCGAAATGATAATACCGGCCATCTCGCACAAAATAGCAATCTGAACCAACAATCATGTTGAACTAAATTTCTGGTCACACAAATGGTTGATTCATTGTCAGAGTAAAGGTGATGTATTGATGGATGAATACATCAGTAATATACCGTAGTCACATAACTTCTACCACTCCTGCAGCCATAACACGATACGTTTTTGTACACCAAGAAGGACCATCTTTGTCAGTGACCCAATCAAAATCAGAATTATCACTAATATTTTTTTAATGAAATTATTGAGTGAGCTACCAATGATCATACTGAAATTAATGTTCTTTTTGGAGTAATGTTTTTGAAAAGCAAGCGAAGGAAATACAAAAAAAAAAAGAAAGAGATGGAAAACAGGAAGAAATGAAGTTCAAGTTAGGTAAAAAATCTACCTAGAGCGAAAGAGCATTTAATTAGAAAACTACTTTCCCCATATATCTTCAATATTAAATCCCCATAAACCCTGATGTGTTCTCCAGAACCTAAGCAGAGTAATTATTCTTGAATCTTGATCGAGCTCACAAAAGAAAAAGTACCAATATTCGTTTTTCCCACACCGGAAGTTTCAGGCCTTTAGAACCAAAATATAAAGAGAAGCTTTGAAGGAATGGGCACGACCTTACTTGAACAGGATCTGTTCTATAGGTTGTACGTCCGAATCCTTTACTCTAAAGAGAAGGGAAACCAAGCCTGGTTGATGAAAAATAGCTGAGGGGCTAGAGTGTGAGTAGCAGCTTGGGCCTTTTTGGGCTCATGCGGTAGAGGATCGTTCTCAGCTCAGTCTGGGCTGGGATGGCCCCTTAGCTGTCAGACAGGTTTCAAATCTTTTTTATTGTGTCCTCAATCCATTCAATTAAATATCGAGAAATAATAATCTCTTTTTTAATCAATTATAAATTCCAAAATTTCGAGTTTCCATAGTAATTTTTAACCTTTTACCCATCAAACTCTTTTTAAATTCAATTAAACGCATTACTATTGGTAATTTGTATAATTGTTCATTCCTTTTTGTCCACATTTCTTTTCTAAATCATTCAAATGAATTAATAATAATTAAAATCAATCAAATTTGTTTTTTAATTAATACGTAGTACTAGTATATTAACTCGTGTCATAGTACAACAAATTTGTTTTTGATTATATAAAAAAAATCATATTCTTTTTCTGACACGTTAATATGATTGTCCTTTCCTATCTTAAAAAATTTCTTTCTCCCGTATTATTAAAAATAAGAAAAAATATGCTCACACTGGTAGCTCAGTTGCTCACAATAGAACAAATTTGTTTTTGATTTTATAAAAAAAATTCTTTTTCTGACACGTTAATATGATTGTCCTTTCCTATTTTAAAAAAATTCTTTCTCCCGTATTATTAAAAATAAGAAAAAATATGCTCACAGTGGTAGCTCAGTTGGTCGAGTGCCCATGGCACGCAGTGTGGGAGTAATACTCTGAGACCAATTTAGACTGTAAGAATGAACTTCTTGCATGTCTGTAGGACAAAAGTCTTCACCCATAACGCGTCACTAGGTCCTGATTTACTTTCCTCCCCATATTAGTCGGGCCGGATGTGGGGGTAGGAGGGATTTCACATCACGTTCTGTTCTTTCTTTATTTTAAGTTCATTGCAAGAGTATCTTTTTTTATTTTCGTTGCAGAAGATTAATAAGAATGAGTGAAAAGTTGATGTGACATGCTGACTCAATATTGTGTGTGTGTACACACACACACACACACACACACACACACACACACACACATATATATATATATATATATTGAGGGTTTGTAGACAAGATTTTAATGTTATGTGTTGCTTATATTTTTTCAAAGTTCTGAATTGAAAGAACTATGTTTTATCATTATTTTTTTTAGAAAGAAATGCGTTTTAACTTTTAAGTCTAAATTAAGTTCCGTTTATGTTATTTCCTTTTAAATTAAACTTGTTTAGGTTTTTTTGTTTTTTGTTTTGCTATAAAAAAAGTAAAGAAAGAAATTCGTACAAAAATTAGTTTCCTTTTTCTTTTTCAAATAATGGTATTCAATAACTTCGTGTTTTCCAAATTAGTCTCCAAGTTGAACTATATGCCAGGATGGTACTTGTTAATTGAAAATAACGCCCAATTTAGTTCATTCTACTAACGGCCGTCAAAATGATATTAAATATGAAAAACCAAAGCAATAGTCTTTTTTTTCAAAATGTTCCTTTGTAATTGGATATTTCCTCAAATTGGTTCATTTTTGAAGTAAAAACTCATTAAATATGATAAACCAAAGTAGTCTTTTTCTAATTAGTTTATGATATTTGAGCAAAGTCGAGAGACCATTTTTATGAGTTTTTATTTTAAAAATGTGCTAATTTGAAAAAAACATTCAATTAGAGACAATCGCTTTGAAAAATTCGTATAAATTTTAATGTCATTTTGACGTTGCTTTGATGTTTGTTAGTCGGAAGACTAAATTGGGTCAATTAACGTGTACCATCTTGATAATTAGTTTATCTTGAAAATAATTTGAAAAACACCTCGCTATAGAGTACCATTTTGGAAATGTACTCTTTTATATACAAAAAGTAAAGGAAAAAAAGTTTGAACAGAAAAGAAAAAAGTTAAACCAAAAAAAAAGAAAAAGGCTTGGACGGAAAAAAAATTAGGAAATAAAAATATTTATTTTAATTGCTTAAATTATGTAATGATAGCATTGGAAGTAGAGTACTACGTGTATTAAGCGATTGAGTGAAATATGTAGTGCAATCAAAGATGATGTGACACTTAATAACTACCAATTTGGAGTAGTGATCGAGCGTCACAAATAGTATAATAGTGCATCGAAGAAGTTGACTATCATCACTCCAAATCAAGATTTTCAAGCCACTTTGATTTAAAATCCTTGTAACTACTATGTAGAACTTGAACTTGCCATGAGTGAATACATGCCTTTTCAGAAATAATCTCACATGTTTAAAAACTATCCTCCACTTTTTTAGGTAGTGTCATCAAATATGAGCTTAGAAATTATCCTTGACTTCTATCGATAGTCATCGAATATGAGACATTTTTTTTTGCCTAAATACAGAGTTTATAAAAAGGAGAAAGATTAAAAAAATGGGTCATTACCTGCATCAGAGTTGAGACCTCATCAACTAATCTACTCAAATCAGTTGCAGGTATTTTCACATGACCTCTAATATTTTTCTAATTTCAAAAAAATTTTACATCCACAAAGAAATTTATTCACACTTGTTTAGTTACATTCCTTCTGTATAGTTCTCTTCTTTCTATTTAAAGTCTGGACTATAACTTACATACTAACTGAGCAAGTACATCATGTACATGTATAGGAAATACATGTATTTAGATGATTTTTCTGTTTAAAAACTATCAGAATAATAAAATAAAAGAAGGCATGGACTAAAAACCATTCACCATTCTGACCTCCTTCATCTCATTCTCTCTAAGTCTCAAACTTCCCTCTTGTAGTTCTGTTTAACATTGGACAATGCAATCCTTCCATATGTTAGGTCAAAGACTGTGGGTGCCTAAACAGGAAATAATTACTTTTATCTAGGTTGGGAGGTAGTACTCGAAAAAACTACCCCGAGTAATTGAGAAGACATTTTTTTCCCGGGGTCGGGGGGGGGGACGTTCATATAGCAAGACGAGACATAATATAAGATTCAAAGAGAATACATATCTTTGCAGGAAGGAACAAGTTCCAGTCAACCTGCTAATAGATGTAAACCACAACTCAGGATTACAAAAATACCCATTGTAGTAGTGATAACTAATACAAAAAACACAAAAATTCTGGGCAAAATTCATAAAACTCCCTCAACCTTAGATGGGTGATGGACACATCTAAATCTAATACAATGAAAACCAAATAAGGTAAGAATGGTGATAGGCTTGCCAGGTCCAATAGGTTCATGAGATCAAAGATTGAAAAATGGAAATATGGACACTGATTTAGATTAGTAAGGTAATCTCTTGAGATATATGGTCTTCAGATATAGATAGGCACATGCGATTCCCTCATTCATCTGGTCTTCTGGTTAAGATAAAGAGGAAGCTTCGTCAAACAAGGCTGTGGGGCTGTCTGTGGCTTCTCAAGCTTTCAGTTATCTCAGCTGTTTTTGTAAGGGTAGGGAAGGAAACAAAGGGTAAAAAACATCATCAGTTTCATAATTGGGCAAGTGGGTTAAGGCTATCAGTATGTTTTTGTAAGGGAAGGGAAAGAAACATTGTCGAGAACATTTGTTTTCTTATGTTCAGTTTACATTGGAATATGTATAAAAATATTAACTAATATTGAAAATAAATTTAGTGATTCTAGCATATTTTTGTTGTCCCTCATATTTTAATTAATTCCGGATTTTTGCTATGTTATTTTTCCAATATTTCAACTTTCCCTCACATTCTCCATCTTCCAAACGAGCCCTAAAAGAATGAAAAAGGTGCAAAGAAGAATCCAAACACTACCTGCAAGTCCAGTCAGAATCCTTTAGAAACCATAACTCTTTTGATGTAATGCAGAGCTTGGTTCAGACAACCTGATAACATGAGTTCACGCTGACAAATTAGAAAATGGAACAACAACAACAACAACCCAGTTGAATCCCACGAGAGTAGGGTCTGGGGAGGGTGTGCGTAGCATATGGAAAATGGAACAAAAGGCATTTATCAAAAGTCAAAACCATGTAGCATATGGAGGGAAAGTCCAATATCCCTATTCAGCAAATGAATAACTTTTCAGGTTTAAGTTTCCTCAAAATGATGAATGGATTTGTGTCAGTAAAGTGTTAGGTAAATCAAAACTCACCCAACTGAACGGCCCAGAGAATATCCATCATATGCTCCATATCGAGGGCTGCCGATGGTGCTCCTCTGAGAAAGGAAATATCAGGATGACAAAGGAAAAAAGATGCAAATTAGAGCAGTCTAGAATTGGAGATACTTACAAGGAAAATGTTACATGTACACCACACAGATATATCTTGCACGTTTTTTCAAATCTCAGACAAACTTGTCTTTTTTACACATATTGTCTCTAAACAATCTGTATAGTTCAAATTTTGAAGAAAAAAAAGGCAAGATTTTTCAGTGTAGTGTAAGTGTGGTAAGCATGTGGCATTTTCCTAATCATAATATATGCCAGTAATAATGTGCATATATTTGATTATATACATAATACGATAAATGAAATTTAAGAATTGGAAGAATATTGGACAGGAACATCTACGAAGCAATCAAACTGCTGCAAAAGAATTGTTTTACTGTAACTATTTAACTAATCTTTAAAAGGAACAATTACCTGAAAACTAGAATAGCTTCCATAACCATCCATGCAAGGCAAGTCACTCGCGCTATTATAACCAGAAGAATAAGAAAGTCCACGACCATGCATTCTAGAATCTCTGCTTTCATACTTTGTTAAGCTATCAGAGACATCTATTGGCATTGGAAGATATGAAGGAACTGTTGCAAAAGTAGATACTGCACCCTCCCTCTCAAAAAGATCGGCCCTCAAGCGTGAAGTTACTTGAATGAGTGCATCCTTAGATACATCAGGCTCTCCAGAAATCTACCGAAAAATTAAATTTCATCAGCTACTAGTAATAACAAAAATTAAATCATTATAGACACATATTTCCGGAACACAATCTTCTGATATGCACTTTTGACCAATAACTAAAAATATTTAATTGTGTGTTCCTTTATTTTTCATTTTTGAAAAAGCAATATGTGAGCATGTTTACCAGGACCATCTCATCATCTTCAGCAGCAACCTTGGGAAGGCTTTCCCTTGAAAGGATGCGAATGTTGGCTTTGGTGATTTTCCTAAGCGCATTAATAATGGATCCCCCTTTACCAATAAGACACCCTATACAAGAGCTTGGTACAAGTAAGCGCATAGTGAACGAACTAAGGCCTGAATCTTTATCCACTTTTTCACTGCACCTGGGTTGTAAGAGCAATGCAGCTTCAATTGTGGGAGAGTAAGTATCTTCAAAAGACTGTTAAGAACCATGGAAACAGAAAAAAACATAAAAAATACTCCAGTGTATATATCTTTGAAAAAGTAGTCTAGATACCTACTTATATAGCAAAAAAAGATAATTTTTATATGCATACAGTAATGCTTACTTCTTTTGCTGAAATGACTATCAGGCAGTCGTCTCCTTCATCACTTGAGATATCCACTTTAATGGATGCCCTAGATTCTTGCCTGATTTTGTTGATAATGGCCCCGCCTTTTCCAATAACACCTCCAACATTCACATTTGGGCATATCAGCCTAAGAGAAAACTCGGTTGAAGATGATTCATGCCTAGGAGCATTGTAAAGAGACTGTGGCCACTCTCCTCCTTTATCTTTGTAACTGACATAAGGACCAAGTAGTGGTGCTAATCTTACTATTGGAGCACCTGGAGCAGGACCCATCAGCAAACCACGACGAGATGGGTAAACACTAGGAGCTGCATCAGCAAGCAAGTGTTGAGATCGGGATGGATTACTGTGAAGGCGAGTTGCAACTTGATGTAGAGCTTTGCTCACTACAGGCATTTCTCCTGATATCTGATACCCAATAAACCAGATAAACTTTAGGAGATAAAATATGCTCCTATTCTGTTTTGGATGTTGCCTGGAAATTAAGAAAACTAACAACAAAAAGAAAAGTATAGAACCCCAGTCCAAGTCCCAAAATAAATAAATAAATATAGAACACCACATGCCACTTATTTTTTTGTCAAAACTGAAAAGTGATGAGCACAAATAAAAGAAATATTTGCACTAAATAGCACTAAAACTTAAGTCATTTCCCTAAATAACACTTAAACTGTTTTATTCCCTAAATAGCACTTAATAATGTCCAGAAGGAGGAATAATGTCCAGTGATGGCAAACATTTACTTGAATAATGACTAATGGATAATGACTAAAAGTGCTACATTGGGAAAAAATACATATGATGCTACTTAGGGAAAGTCATTATGTTTTAGTGCTATTTAAGTAAATTCCCCTAAACCAAAGAAAACTGAACAACAAAGGAAGGATATATACTAAGACTCAAGGTTCTATCACAACAGGTCAAACTAAAAGGAGTAGGTCTAGCGAAGCTGCAAAGGTATGTCGACTTATATGTTAATATACTCCCTCTGTCCGGAATCAATTGTCCAGTATCTAAAAAAATCTCATTTTTAAGAAATGGGTTTAAAAAGTAAATAAGTCCTTCAAATGAGGGTGCCTGCCCGTCATTCATGTCAACAATGTTGATACCCCATCTCTAGGACATTTTAGAAAATTCATCATAATTTCTTTGTTGAATATGCACCGTGGAAAACTAATTCTGGTCAAACAAAAACAAGAAAGTGGACAACTAATTCTGGACAAACAAAAACAAGAAATTGGACAACTAATTCCAATAGGAGTGATTATATGTTCTAGGTGGATGGGCTAAAGTGTCCTAATTGATGGTGCCTACTTGTTTTAACCAAACATTTTCTAATAACATACGGTATTAAGACTTAGGCTCTCTATCAGAAGATCAAAGACCTTATATAGTTATATGTTTCATGTTCATTTGTATTTTTACAGGTGTTTGATGTATGATGGCTAAACAATCCCAAATGAGGAGACGGAAGAAGTTGGGTATCATAATTACCTGCACAAGTTCATCAGATGCAAGAGCACATACAGGCAGATGCTTATCCTTCAAAATACGAATCTGGGCACCCGTTTCACTACGAATACTTTGAACTATCTGTCCACCTTTCCCAATAATACATCCGATCTGATCATACGGTACGAGAAGCTTAGCAGTCACATGTGGTTTTTCATCAGAGTCCTTAACATCATCCGCCACGCCCTCATTTGCTACTCTATCATGAACCTTGAGAAGCGCATCATGGGCAGGACATACAGGATCTTCAAGACCTTCAAGTCTATTACTTTCTTCTCTGGATCCAAAGATGGTGACTACACGTTCATCACAATCAGGCCTTGTCTCCCCAATACTTATTTTGGATTTAGTTTCTTCCCTTAATTGCTTAATAATTTCGCCTCCTCTTCCAATGATACTTCCTATCTTCTTTAGGGGGCACAAGTAGCGATACACTGTCTCCTCCGAACCAACGGATTTACGTTCTTTATCACCCCCATTAGAGTTTCTCCTTTTATTTTCTGCACATTCGGATTGAGTCTGAGAACTAGAACGTTTTCCATGGCTACTACTTTGACCGGCCATACTTCAACCTTAATTTCTTGACCAAAAGATCTGGTTTTTTTTCCTCCAAAAACAGGCTAAATAAATCCAGCTGCAGATAACGAATTCAAATTCGTTCGAAAATGTAAACCTCGATACAGTTTAACAAACTATCAAATTCCCCGAGTTGAATTGGTTTCTTGCAGAATTGTATGGTGCTGTAAAATACGCAGAGTGAGGAACTTGAATAAAAACCAGGGCATTTTAGCAATACATGGAAGTGAAAACCGGGAAATTATTGGATGGGAGCAGAGACTGGGAAACGAAAGTGCTAGAATCGAAAACAAGCGAAACGAACATATTCAAGAGATGATGCCTCGAGACTTTTGCAATAGGAATTACCTCAATATCTAGGGTTTTGGACAGAGGCTTCTCGGAGAGGGAAACAATGGCGGATTCTCTTTTACCAGTTCCCAACAAGCCAACGCCGCAAACAAGCAAAGTACGGAGTAGTTACTATGTTTATTTTGCTTCTTTTTTTTTTAATACTCCATATTAACTAGATAAACTTTACACGTTAATGAATAAAAATCACAAATCATTTTTTCTTGAAACCATAAAAATCACAAATCTAAATGAATTTTTTTTAATTATTATGGATGTGCTAGGGTAAGCTAACAAAAATACTTTATTTTATTAGTTTATCACAGACACGCACAAACAACCATTGTCAGTGCATTGTCGATAGTTTTCGGTGTATGTCTGTAATACACCTATATACAAGTCAAAGTATAAAATTTAGATTACACCTAGTTTTTTTATTAACATGTGACGTACTCTATTACTCTATTGTGACGTACTCTATGTCAAAAATTGAATGAATCATAAGGGTATTGGGAAGAAAAAACTATTAATTATATCATCTTTCTTCTTAATACCTATTTTAGTTACAAAAAGACGATTAGTGGATTGAAGGTAAGAGATCCTTGATGTGGTTTGTGATTCTTGTATATATTTTGATGTGGAGGTGATGAATATATTGTGCACTTTGTTCAAAAAGAAATTTTAATGCAACCTCGCATAAGATATATTTATATTCTTGTAACTTGTGATGTGACATAAAATGATATGATCAATTATTATAAATAGAAAAATCATACTCTCTCCATTTCAAAATAAGAATTCTTTTTGTTTACGATGTTTGATTGAAATTATTTTAAAATCAGTATAAATAAAATTTGGTGTAAATTCTAAAAAAATACTACGTAAGTATTATATATTAAAAAACTACATAAAAAATTCTACAAAAGAAGTAATGATAATGTTATTTTATTTTATGAAACGATTGATGGTAATGTATAAAGAAAGTAGAGTTTGTCTGACTTGCGAAAAATAATTAGAAGTCTTTTTTTATGACAGAATCATTTTGGCACATAAACAATAAGATGAAAATAAAAGAACTGCTGAAATATGTTTTATGGAGGATTGGAGGAGCTGCATCTCTCTAGTTTGATTCTTTTTAGTAAGTCAAATAACTACTTTTCAATGATTACATAAAAATTGTATTACATATAATATGTCGTGTCATTGTAATTTAATTGAGAATTTCTTTTAGGATAGTACAAAGTGCTCTCCAAAGAAATTACTACTTTCATCATGTATTTGTGGTTCTACTCATATTCTACATAACTCATGAATGCATTTTTGGGTTTTAATTTTTTTGAGTTTTATTAACTTGATTACAATGTAATACTTCATCGGTCCACCATAGATCTTCTCAGTCACTATTTACAGGGTCAAACTTAACTCACTTTGTATGCCTGTTTTTACTATTTATTTCATAAAATAATATAGTCTCGTCACATGTAGCTTTGTAGAATTTTTCATGTACTTTTTTTACTATATACTCCCTCCGTCCTATATTTAATTTCCCGGTTTGACCGGTACTCATTTTTAAGGAAGTGTAAAATTTACTTTGACTTTCCATATATGCCCCTACCATTTGCACTTTTGTTGTATTCCGTTTAAAAATAAAGAAATAGAAAACTAATTATCCTTCAGATCTACCGTGCTCCATCCATCTCCATCCTCCTCCACCATTAACATCACCATCACCTGGATTTCATCAAACTTCACCCCCCGACCATTGCTGCTTCATCGCCATTTTCAAAAAGCAGATCTGAATCTCCTTCATAGTAGATCTGATGTGGAGTCACAATTACAGATCTAGTTTGCTCATCGAGGCTTGCTTTTGCGATGCCGATGCCGGTTTCAACCGTGAGAAATCAAAAATGAAAGAAAAATGAAATCTCTTAAAAAAGAAAAGGAAATTGAAATTGAAATAAAGAAGGAAATTGAGATGGAAAAGAAAGTCGAGTTCTTAATCAAAAGAAAAAGAAATAGATTATGAAATTACCCATGTGCAAAACCTCTTTAATTGCTAGATTTGTTGCCCATGAAAACGAATCAGAACGTGTACTATGATGTTATTCTTGTAGCCCATTTGACAAAATGGAGATGGAAACGAGATACTCCGTATAAGGATCTTTGTTGGAAAAGAAAAGATAAGTTGTGGGGGGTATTGTTGTCATTCAATACAAAAAAGGTTGCCATTTAAGGAAATGAGAAGTTAATTTTAGGACAACCCAAAAAAGAAAATGAGAAGTTAATTTTAGGACGGAGGGAGTAATTTTTATTTTTAAATTTTATTCTTACAATCAAACAAATTGAATTGAAAATAAAGCCGGTCAAACCTCGTAACGCGTAATGAGATGATCTTTGGTGGACGGAGGGAGTATTTGTTTATATTATTTTTAAATCATGACACACAATGAATCTTGAGAACTGAATTCCCAAACACTCACGAAAGAAAGAAGATCATGTTATCTTATAAAAATGATCATCTTAAAATTGTGAACATACAATTCCATTTTCATATGCACATTGTTTCCTTTACGTTTCTAAACCACAATCTTTATGATATATCGGGCATATACTATACATGAAATATCGAAGATAAGTTATTTTTCAGGGGTCGCCAAATTAAATTATACGGAGTATTTGTTTATTTAAAATATTCCGTATAATTTATATTTTTCCACATTCCTTCTTCAAAATCAAAATACAAAGTACATGGCTTTTAACAATTCATTCTTTCAACAAAATTTAAAACTGGTGAGCTTTTTCCTATCCACAAATAGTTTGCCCAAAGAAAAGTTTTACCAAAACATAATTTCGGCACATATACTCCAAACACAATTCTCTACACAAATAACTGTCACACATCAATTCTTGACAAATGAGCTGCAGATGGGTAAGATGGATGAATGAACAAATGCATAGAGCTTGAATGAGATTTATTTCATATATATGGGAAAACCCCCCTTTTGATTTCTCTCCAAACTACGTTCACATGTGCCCTCTCACTATATCAAATACATGTTTATATATACATATACATCTAATGCCTACCAAAAAAACACATCCTTTCTAGACACCAGAATAAATATGGAAGAAAAAAAAGATTAAAAACTGTGGAAACAAAATTTAGAGCAGACTTATCTGACCAAGAACTAAAACTTGGGGCATGGATAAAAGGTAAGTACTTTTTCTTGTCACCTTATTAATGTGCGTTCTGGTGGAAGAAGATCAAAGACCTGGAGAGTGCAGCTGGATTGGCTTGTAAAACAGTTGAGTTTTCTGAAGAATCAGTCTTTTCGTCTTCTTTCAACGGGGAGGCCTTGAAAAGGCCACCTTCCCCGACCAAATCAACTTTTTCGTTCTTGATTCCTAGAGTAGCCCAGATGGAGCTCTTCGCGGCGTCTTCCGGGTCATCAACTCTCAGGGTCTTAGGGACCCACAGACACTTCTCCGGGTCGCCTTCTTTCTTGGGCTCTTCTTCCTTGCTGTCCACCGGTTTTGCAGTGTTTTCATCCCTTGAATGCTTCCCCAGAGATGATGGCATGTGGTATTGAGACCCTATAGGTTGGCCAACCCAGGGTACAGGACAGCCCCAATAAGGTGGGGCAGGGTAAGCTGGCGTAGGGAAGCCGGGAGTGCAGTAACCGGGTGGGGTCCACTGAACGGCAGTCAATGGGTAAGTCCAAGGGGCTCCTGGGAAGCACGGCATCTGAGGAACGAGGTTCGGGCAGTTCGGTCTGTCTGGCAGTTCGGCTGCAGCAGTGACCGATGATCCACTCGAATGATCATCTCCATTCTCTCCATTCAATGGACTCTTCTTCTTTGTCGCTTTCTTCTCTGCAATGTTTAGTCCTGAAGCCATGGATTCACAGAGAGGCGATTCTGAGCCAAATGTAAGGAGGGTGCCATTGTTGTGTGGCCTGATGCCATTTGTAAGTTTCTGGTCAACTCGACCACCAGGAAAGGATTCTGCAATGGTGACATGGCGGTAGTGGGGCCCGGAAGTCTTGTTTTTCCTCCTACCAGCTCCAACGGGCACGTTCCTCATCGTCCCACCAGCTGTCCAATACCTCTGGCAGTTCTTGCAGAAGTGGCGAGGCTGGTTCACGTTGTAATTGTTGAAATAACAGAACTTGGTTTCCATGCTGTTGCAGCGAGGGCACGGGAGTATCTTGTCCGGTTTTTTCAGAGCCTTATCTGGTGAACTACAATTACTTGTTTCTCCCTGTTCATATGGTACTGGCTTTTTCATTGTCTTTGATCCATCAACCTCCATTTCGTTTTCGTTCTGATCTGTTAGCTCTTCTTCCATCGAAGATTGGACTCCTCCATCAGCCTTATGATCATCTAACTTGCCTCCATGTTGGTCCTGTGTTCATGACAATGTTAGTGAAAAGTAAAATAAAGAGAAAATACTAACCATGATGAAAATGCAATTATGGTAACCATACTAATGATGATGATGAGGATGATGATGAAAAACCACAACAACAAACCATCTTCTACTCTTCTCATTATCTTCATTTTAACTCGTAGCTATTTTTAGATGTTTTGTACCCCGGAGTAACTTTTGTTCATCTTTTTCCCAAATATAGATTACAAAATTGAAGCTTTCCATTCAGATTCCAAAACCAGAATCACAGGTCACACTTTCTTCATTACCAGAATCAGTTCGATTTCTTAAAAAGTTTCTAGTGCTCAAAAATATTGAAAATGGGGAAAAAAACCTTTTCTGGAAATCAAAGTATGGATTGCTGGATACTTTTGAAGAAATGGAACTGATTTGGTGGGTCTGATACATACCAAGAAGGTAACCAAAATCAACAAGGGGGGGAATAAAGGAGATGAAGTGGAAACTATTACTAATCAAAACCCTAGACAGAAAAAGCTTCACGTCCATGAGACGACTTCAAGCAAATCACAATATCAAAGTCAACAGAAGCCAAAAAAACAAGATCGACCCATCACAGGAATCCCGGCGGCCTGCAATGGGTCGTTCTCATAAATTACCCAAATCCAGACCTTTTGCAGCGGTTCATCTTCTCCGGCGCAGCCGCCCACCGCCGGATCATTCCCCAAACGCGAAAGGACTCGAGCCGAGACATCACCACACGAAGATGCCGGCGCATCGACTTCATCCCGGCAAGAGCCCCCAGTCTCCGTCTCCGGAGCGTGACTATCCGGCAGCTGGATAGTCTTCCCGAACAGCTTTATCCCCGGGTCTTTACTCGAATCCGACATGCCGGGCACCTTTTCAAAGCTCCCAGAGATGAGAAAAAAACAAAAGGCCGGAGGAAAGCGATGACTCCGGGACTGGGTCACACGCCCGGAGAGATCTGACACGCCGGAATCGGGTCAGGGTCGGGTTTGGGAGGTGGAATATGTACCGGAGAGAAATGGAGGAGGAAAAGGGCCAGGTCAGCGAGGAAAAAGGGGAGTCTGAGCCACGAGTTGGGTTTCTTTTGTGGCTTTAAAAGAGATCTTTTTTTTTTTGCCCTTTACCCTTTTCTTTCTTTTCTAGATTCTGTTCCTTTCTATCTATCTACCAAAAAGAAAGTGGGACTAGTCTTCTTCTTTATTCATGACTCAGCAACACTTTACTTTCCCCTATACTATTCATTTATCGCCCACTTTTTCGTCCAAAAAGTCGCCACACTTTTTGAGCCTCTTTTTTCCCACTCCAAAAAGAAATCACATTTTTTTCTCTTATCTTGAAAAATAATCAATCTATATTTACATGGTCAAACTTTTTTTACTTTGTTGACCTTATTTCGTCACCCTTTTGATAAAATAATATAGTCATATCACTACTAGTTTTGTAGATCTTTTGATATAGTTTTTTTAATATGTAATTTTTATTTTTAACTTTTATATCATTTTTCATATAAAAAGATTTAAAAATAATTTCAGTCAAACATCGTAACGCGCAACGAGAAATTTATTTGTAGACGGAGGGAGTAATTACTTCTTACACTCTTCGCCATTTAGTATTCGTTCAGTATTCCTTTTTGAAAACGATTATACTTTCTCCGCCACACAATGTTGGTTACTAGTAAGATCTCTCAATAACTATTAATTATTTGACCGTGAAATATGAAAAAAGTATGTATTTAGTTATAATGTAAATTTAGTAAAATTTGAATTTATTTTAAAATATAGTTTTAAAATATTAATTTTTTATAATATTTAATTATTTTAAACTATATTTAATTCATGGTCAAAAGATGCAATAATTTGACCAAAAAAGTCAAACAGTGACAACTTTTTAGAGATAGAGAGAATACATTTTTATTGATTATTTAATGAAATAAAATATTTTTGTCACCTATTGCTTTTTAGAATTTCTTATATACTTTAGATGGTATAATTTGTATTTTTTATTTATAAACTAGTTTGTGATGAGAATGAGTTTTAAAAATGATGAAGTTTTCCATGTTATTTGGTGAGGTTAGAAATAAGAGACTATAAAAAATTAAACTAGACAAATATTCAGGGACGGACTAGTATGATTTATAGGGAGTACGGAGTATCATTTATTTCTTTGATGTGTGATGCTTCTTATGTTTTACTCCATAAGAATCACATATCAAAATAAATTTGAATTCACTTAAAATTATCTCAACATAACTTTCTTAGTTAAATAGTGTGTGCTCGAATGACATATGTGACTTTTCAAACTAAGAAGTCACAAATTTCAAATCCTTGTGACACTTCGTGAAGATATTATCGCTTTGAGTATTAAACGTGAAACTTAATTTTTTTATTCATTTAAACAAAGGGTTGTAATGAAAATTTTGTGTATTTCAATTCATTTTTTGATAAAATGAGATATTTTTAATATCTTATTTTATGATATTTTTTATGTAATTTTTAGATGTATGAACTTTATTTTTAATTTTTATAACAATATTTAAATTAAATGAAATAAAAATCAGAGTAACCGAGAAGTAAAAAATATAAACATTTTAGGACAAATGTAGTAAATACAAAAAAAAGGTAGGGGTCGGAGTAACCGAGAAGTTTAATTTTAGTAAGGGGGGGAGTACTTTTTATTTTTTGTCTTTTTGTTGGCTTTTTTGTGTTTGGGGATGGAAATATGATGAGCTATGGGGCAAATTGTGAAAAAAAACAAAACGTGTGGAACCGGCAAAAGCGTAATTATTATTGTTACTATGGGTCAGTCCACGGAAAAGTAAAACCGTGCGACTTGACCCTTTTGGCTTGCAACTTTGAATGCAACAACACCTTTCTCTCATCATAAAGTGGGTGGAGCCATAAATGATGCACCTCTTTGCTTCTCAAACCAACAAAAAAAACCCACTACCAACAATTATCCAAAACAAAACTAAATTTAAGTCTTTTTCAGTTTATTTAGTTTTAAGATTAGTATGGAGCATTAAAATAACAAAATCAATTTAATATACTTAAACACAATGTCAAAATTTCTACAAAACAATGTCGGATGGATGTCGGGGGTTCAGACTGGTAAGCTCGTAACTTAATCCACAGAAGGCTTGAAGATTGCCCGACTTGAAAACTGGTCGGGTGGATGCCTTGAGATGAACAGTAGTCATAAACATTATATTTTCTATTATTATTGTTGAGTGTTACTTCAAAGTCCCGCATCGGTGGGATAGGAAAATTGAGGAGGGATTGGAGCCTATAAATAAAGAGGAGATATAGGCTTCCATCACACAACACAATCCTTCAATCTATATAATTGTGTATTAGATTTTAGGTTGTGAGTGTCAAATATTGGAGAGGGTTTGTAATTTTTCCGTGCAAAAATTACTAGTGAGATTTTATCCCAGAAGGGGTCGTGGAGTAGGTCTTGAGGTGCCGAACCACGTTAAAAATTTGTGTGCTCTCTTTTATTTTCTTTCCATTTATTTGCAGTGGGGGCCCAACAAGTGGTATCGGAGCCAAGGTGCAGAGCCCGGGTGATCTAGTAATTATAATTCTTAGTATGCTCTGTGGTTGCAGCTTTGACTGATCTTCCACATCAGAAAAGAATTATTAATTACAGAGTTGCAGTCTAGGGAGGAAGGAGATAGAGCAAGGAGCAAGAGGAGGGNGGAAGAGCGGACTTCATGTTGTGGCAATGCACGATTCAAGACTATTTGGTCCAGCAAGGTCTTGATTTAGCATTGCAAGATGAGAAGCCAAGTGATATGAAAGAATCAGAGTGGAGTACAATCCAGAAGAAGGCTGTCAGCACAATTCGGTTGGCACTGTCCCCACAGATTAAAGTGACAGTGCTGAAAGAGACATCACCAAAGAAGCTGTGGGAAACGTTGGAGAGCAAGTTTGCGTCGAAGACACTTACTAACCGGTTGATGATGAGGATGGACTTGTACTCACTGAAGATGGAAGAGGGAGGTAGCATAATTGATCACATCAACAAGTTTAATGAGCAAGTATCAAGGTTGTTAAATGCAGGGGAGACTATCAAGGATGAAGAGCAAGGGCTGCTTCTACTGGCTTCACTACCAAAATCCTTTAAGCCGTTTGTGCAGTCAATGATAGCAGGAAGGACTACACTGCGACTAGATGAGGTGACGACTGCCTTGAAGGAGAGTCAAAGGATGATGGGAGGTGAAGAGTCTTCCAGGGACAATCATTTACTAGCTGCTGTGAGTGTTGAGAAAAGGAGGAAGAAGAAGAGTGACCAACTTGGGAGAAGATCGCATCTGAGAGACATGAGCACTGTTAGGTGCTATTACTGTGAAAAGTTGGGTCACACGAAGAACGGTTGTCCAGAACTCAATGAGGACTTGCAGATCCTAAAGGAGAAGAAGGGCAAATCGAAGGAAGCTTCTTCCGCAAATGTGATCACTTATGAAGATGATCTCTTCTGAAGATAAGAGTACTGCTGGACAGAAGATTTTGCAGGATGGGAGTATCGCTGCAGAAATCGCAAATGATGTAGGACTTTGAATTAAGGGGAGATTTGTTGAGTGTTACTTCAAAGTCCCACATCGGTGGGATAGAAAAATTGAGGAGAGATTGGAGCCTATAAATAAAGAGGAGATATAGGCTTCCATCACACAACACAATCCTTCAATCTATATAATTGTGTATTAGATTTTAGGTTGTGAGTGTCAAATATTAGAGAGGGTTTGTAATTTTTCCGTGCAAAAATTACTAGTGAGATTTTATCCCAGAGGGGGTCGTGGAGTAGGTCTTGAGGTGCCGAACCACGTTAAAAATTTGTGTGGTCTCTTTTATTTTCATTCCATTTATTTGCAGTGGGGGCCCAACAATTATAAATAGGAGTGAAAGCCTCATGAAGAAGGAGAGCAATAAACAATAATCTACAAGACTTGTAAGTTATAATCAGTCCCATATTATAAATAACAAACCGAGTTACATGTATTCTCACCTACAACTCTTCCACTTTTAGTAACTTGAACATTCACGTTGGTTTTACACCATCACACACAATATTGCACATGTTGTTCGATTAAATCTATTTTAAATGTTGTTCAAATTAAACTATTATTTTTAGCATTTTAAAGGATTATAATAGTTGACACGATTGATTAAATTTTGACATCTTTTGACACTAAAATCCAATCCGTTAATTACTTTATTCTCAAATGGACATTAAATAATTTTGTTTATAGTTTTAACTATGATAAGTTTTTAGTATTTGGGTTGAAAATGATAAAAAAATGATGAGAAAAAAGAAATAATTAAGGATCCGTTTGAGAATCTGGAAAATGACCTCTGAAAAAATGACTTCAAGAAAAGAAGTTATTTTTCTTGAATTCATTTTCCTTTTGTGGTGTTTGGGTGACAATTGAAAATTGTTTATTTTTGTTTGGTTAATTTTGGAAAACAAGAATTGGAGAGTGAATAATCAAATATGAAGACCCCTAATTCTTCATAGTCTAACTAAAGTTGAAATACTCAATTGTCAAGAACTCTCATCCCATCGAAGAAGACGAAGAAACCTAATCTTGCATCATAATTAAAATTGAAATAATCTGTATTTGATCATTTTCCATAACCTTATTTTTCAGTTGACTCTCATTTTCTACTCTTGCCAAACAACTCAGAAAGGAAAAATGACTTCCAGAACTTATTTTCTACTAACGCAAATGAATGACCCTAAAATCAGGGCCGGTCCCGAAAAATGAAAAATTAAAATTGGCCCGGTTCTAAATTTACATTTTGGGCCCTATTTTAATTTTTTAAAATGCTTTTTTTCTTTAAAATTATTAACAAATTTAAAATTATGAGGCCCTAAAATTTTAGGGGCCCTGTGCGGTTGGCCACTTTGCACACCCTGCGGGCCACCCATGCCTAAAATATAAAAAGGTAATGAAAAAAAAATTTCTTATCATTGTTGATGAGAAAGGTTTTGTTATAGGTTTCACATTAATTTTTTATTTTCTCACATTTTTTTCTCATCAAAATTTGAGAAATTATATTAAAATTCGTTTTTTTTGTCTTCCTTTCTTTTCTTATCATTTTTCTCTAACAACCAAACAATATTTTAAAGCTTGAGAATACAACTTGATATATGGGCATTTCTTATTTTTGAAAGCCCAAGCGACAAAACCAAGACAATGGACACTGCAACCCAGAACAGCGAAAGCCCACACAACTCTGGACGATGGTTTTAAAATCGCACTGTAATTTTAAAAGATTATACTTTGTGGACAGATACGTAAACAAATCAAATATTTTAAATTCGATTCGTGATTCTTATTTGAATATGATGATTCGAATTCACATTATTCAAAATCAATTTCAAATATTAGTTTTGATTCGAATATCAAATAAATACAAATACAAATAGAGGTGTTTTCAATTCAGATGTTATTTGAAAATTGGAATATATTTATATACACAAATCATGTTTTCAATATCAGTAATCAAACAAACTAATATAGTATAAAATTCATTTAAATTTAACGTAACACAAAAATTTAAAAGAATGTGATTTTTAATAGTTATATTTTATAAAATATAATTTGTGTAAGACGCAAATGCATAGATGCTTTTAGATATGGTATAAGAAATACTATTCCTCACTCCAAAAATTATTATTTCGTTATGCATTACCATATTTGATTGAATTTTTTCAAATTATTTTATATAAAAAATAGTGTGAAATTAAAAAATAAAAATTATATATTAAAAAAACTACATCCAAAGATCTATAAAACTAAGGATGACATGACTATATTATTTTATCAAATAGATAAACGGAAATAGACTAACAAAGTGTATAAAGTTTGACCTTGTGAATAATGAACGAGAAGATAATTTTTAAACGGATTGAATGTAAGTTAAATCATTCAAAATCGATGTATAAATTACAGAAGATGATTATTCAAATATTCGTTTAGGATTCGTTAAGTATTTAAATATTAATCAAATACAAATACAATTTTTATTTTTAATTAATTTCATATTCATATTTAATTCTTATTCTTAATCGATATTGCTTCCTTTTTTATTCCACCCAATTTGTACATTCATCCTACCATTTGAAGCTTTTTCTTCACGGTTTGGAATTACTGGAGATGTGCCAAAAGTACGGAGTAGCGCGATCCAGCTCGAGCGGCCGACAAATTCGATCCGGGTCGCCATCTCTAATCAGAAGAGATTGCTATGAAATTAGGCAGCTAGACACTTGCAGACAAAGAGTCCTGCAATTTGGAGTCTGCGGTTTTCTTGTATAATCGCACAAACTCGAAGAAGAAGAAGACGAAGAAGAGACATCTGGTTCTGGGCTTATTCGATTTAGGGTTTTTTTATTCTCTGCTAGCAGGGGGGCGCCATGGATTCCCCCCCTGGTTCACCTGGCTTCGATATTTTTGGTTTCTATATGCGCTATTCTGGTAATCTTCTTTGAATCATTTTTTTTTAATTTTTTTTGATTCCTAGAGCTTCATGATTGTCTCAGAGTAATAAATTCTTGATTGAGAAAGATGACCCATTTGTAAGATATTGATATTTTAAAAATGTGTTCTGAACTGTGCAGTTTAGTCCGTAGGGAGAACTTTATTCAACTGGTTTTTTCCTAAAGATTGGGTTTTTAACTCGTTTTCAAACCTAGTCGTAATAATTTTGTAACTGATTACTGAGCCTTTGTTTGGTAGCCTTATATAGCTTATTCTTCGTATTTGAATAACCAGAATAAGTGGGTTTTTTTTTGCTGCCATTAACACACTCATTTTCTCTGTGATGCAGACATAGTGGCTGGGATATGGGCCAATGTGAATGCCAGTGATGAGCAGCTGAAGGCTGGATATTTTAAAGAGGAACTGTTAGAGCTCCTGGAATTGGTGGAGGAGGCAAAATTGCATACGAGGCATGTAGCTTATTCGTTTGAACTTTGAAGTGGCTGATGGGCTTAAGTAATTTATGTACATATATGTAGATTACAGATTGGCACGATTGAAAAATATATTTTTATTGTGGCAGGATTTCATTGATGGATGAAATTTACACGCTTATGTTGCAATTAGATTTGAAGGCGAGTTTTCTCTTTGTAATATAATGCCATAAAGCCGATAAATTGACCATAAAGCCCTGATCTTGTAGTATGTTATGCAGGCAGACTTCTCTGAATTCTCGCGTTTCTATGATTTTGTGTTCTTCTTATGCCGAGAAAATGGTCAAAAGAACATTTGTAAGTTTGTTTAGTGCTTTGACGGTTCATTAGTTGCAGTATAAGCTCTGTAAAAGTATGTTACTCCGTATATAATACTATCTCATCTGTTTCTCTTAATATTATCCACTTAGCTGTGAGAAGGGCTGTTATGGCATGGAGGTTAATTCTAGATGGAAGGTTTCGATTACTTCATCAATGGTGTGACTTTGTTGAGGTAATGTTTTGATGCTTATAGCGTTTTTTACACGGATTTAAAGAGAACATTAAAAAAAGCTTTTGATGATGATTATAATGACAGTAACAATAATAATATGCACTTTCACGCTTACAAGGGCTGCATTAGTATGATTAAAAAAAGATGTGTTTTAAACTTTTAATGAAGTAGAGCATATGCAATTTTTGCATTATTACATTTCAATTTTTTCAACAAGTTCGCTTTTAAAATATACCCCGTGTGCCTGTATGTATATATTCTGAATTGTTCACTGCACTTCATTGGCAGAAAAAACAGCGACATAACATATCGCAGGATACATGGCGCCAAGTATTGGCTTTCAGTCATTGTGTACACGAAAATCTTGAAGGATATGATCCTCAAGGTACGACATTTATATTTTTCGCTTCTAAACTGTCACAAAGTATTTAGCTTTTTATGTTATTAAAAACAAAAAACTATTTAGCTCTTTAGTATTATATTTGCTTCAACTTGTTTTTTTTTTCTAAATTCCTGACAGGAGCATGGCCAGTATTGATTGATGAATTCGCTGAGCACATGTATAGGTTTGTGATGAATATTAAGATGCTATATAGTTTCATGAGCTTAGTTCTTTTGACACCAAGGGCCAATGCCATAATATGACACCGGTCCAGGGTGACCCCGAAATGGTTCATACCCCTAAACCACACAAACCCCTAAGTGGTTGTCAAGAGAACGGCAATATATTTTCATATATCAATAATAGAAGTGGAAAAATCAATACTACACGTGTTCCTGTGTTAAAATGACTCACAAAAGCATAAAACCTCATTCTACATTTTCAACTACTAATGTTCTTCGGGTACATAGGATCCGTGGATCGAATAGTTCTTCTACACAGTCAGCCTGCAACTGTGGCGATTCAGATGTCCATAAAGCCGACGAACCAGTTTTTCGCGGTAAGTCAATGTTCACCTTGGCCTGTAACTAAACAGTCATGTAGGAGTTCTGCGATCTGATCATAGCGTTCTTGTTTATTATTAGGATTGAAACTGTGTCCTGGCTTCAAGAGGAAGTCATGCGACGACCTACTAAAAGAACATGGAAACGATGCCAGTCCATACTTGTGGGAAGAGAATCGGGCGCTTGATTTGGATATGGGGAAGTATAACAACTTGCTGGGGCACTCGAAATGTGCCGTGGAGGGGTCTCTCTCCAAGGGGTTCGCCGGGCTATTGTCAAACGGACCTTGTTTGCAATTCGAGAAGAAGAGCAGAGTGTCCTTCACATGAGGGGAAGTATTTTATGGGACGGACTCTTGGATATTGCTTGTATGCTCTTGTTTGCCTTTAGGGAAAATTTTGCTAGTGCATTTTTTTTTCTTTTTGGTTTCGGGTTTTCGGTTTTTGGTTTTCGGTTCAATTGGTACATTGCCCATTCTTGGTAATTATGTATGACTCAAATAAATGGTAGACAAATGGGCTCCTCTTACTTGCTTTGTCCACAACACTACTGTTCTTAAAAGAAAGTTGTTTGTTTTTTTATTTACAGTTTAAGAGAAAATGAAATATATTATTCGATGTTGCATTCAAATGAGAATTTGATCCGTTCTTTCTGTCTTATTTTAAAAAAAATGAAATCGTGTGGTTAAAGTGACGTAGAGTATTGAGAAACAATATGAATTCGAAAAACTTTTTCAAAAGAAAAAAGAAAATGACAAATGCAATCAACCAAATGGGCTGCAAATTTGGGCTTATCTCATCTCTGCACTTGTGGAGCCTAATAAGCCAATACAAACAGCTAGAAAAATTTGATTGTGACTGGGAATTAGAAATTTACAGTTTCCAAAGAAAGAGCCCACTGAACCCAATCATATGTTTGGTCCATTTTCGTTTTGTTGTGGGATGATATGACATAATTACCCTTCCATGTTCATTCAAAGTCCACTCCATTCTTATGGGGGGCTTTGCTTTATGAGGATGCGTGTCATACGCAGCAGATATTCAGTGAGACTAATCAAAATTGGTGAATAAGATTTTTACTTAGACTTCATTTGGAAATAAAATGTTTGTGAGGACTCCTAGTATTTTTGTTAAGTTTTTCCAATTGTGACGAATCTCTTTGAAAATCCTTAATTACGCGAAAAGATAATTTTAAAATTTATGCCCGTATAGGTCTCTCGCTCCGGAAAGTGACATGAGATAATAGATGGATTTAACATTTAGGTTATACAAGAACCACGTGATATATGAACTTCTTGTATCACCGTTGTGAATTGAATACGTACATTATCCCACCTGGATCCCTATTAACGGCATACTTACCTCACGTCCACTCTAGTGAAAGCGGTTGTTGTATCGATGGACGATGTGCAATTGGTAAAGACAAGAAATGCATTTCGAGTCGCAAGATCTGAAACTGATTCATAGCAACTGCGCTGGGAGACAATTATGTTCAACATAAGGTCTCTGTAATACCAGATTTATGCTCCACTGTTTGTCATCAATCTGGTTCAAAATTCAATTTTTTTCCCTCTCAATGATCATTCTACTCAGAGATGGGCTTTATCTTTTTATTTTTGTGAAAGAGGGAATAGTACATAGTAGTATAGTGGTGAGGGGAATAACAATAGAATGTGTGGGGAGTTTTTGATTAGTCTAAGGCGTGATGATGAAGAAAATTAGCACAAGAATCCTTCCGCAGATTGCCGCAGCTTTTGCCTCTTAGTATTGTCAACCCTAACTAACTAAGGAGTAGTAAAGATTAATTAGTGATCTCATTAACCTTTGTTGGGTTTTGTTAGTGGTTGTTAAACTACTATATCTATCTCAAATTAAAATTCTTATTGTTACTTTTACAAAAGTTTTAAAAAATAGTTATACTCTCATAATAAATTCCTTTTTTTTAATTTCTTTTTCTACTTTTATCCCTACTAATTAATTATTATCCTACTTATAACATTGTATTTTTAACTAATAATTTACCAATCACATTCAACTTTTGTCCTTCACATTAATAGTATTTTTGAAAAATTAATACAAAAATCGAAGTTGGAACAACCTCAATGGAACGGAGGAGGTACTTGAATTGATATTTATGTACGGAGTAAAAGATAGAACACTCAAATTGAAGGAGGAGGGATTGCAATCCGGGGGTACCTATATCGTTACAGTAAACTCATTAAAAATGTAGGAGGTACCATTCTTAGAATCGCCTCGTTGGGGCACGCCCCCCCCCCCTCCCATCCTACCTTTGCTCTTCCTCTGGAGAGCAAATAACGTTACTCACTCAATACTTATTTTAAATTGTTACGCTTTCATGTTCTTAAGTTGTACATCTAAAATGTAGTTTTTCTCATCTTTTCCATAGATTGGCAAGTGAATCTTTTTACCATTACAAAAGAACTAATTCTTTCATGTTGTTTATAAATAAAGTCTAGAAAATGAATTTGGATTCAAGAACCACATAAAAATTTCCTTTTTTAGCTTAGTAGAAAAATTCCCTACTTTAAAAGGAATGAGATTTTTTTTAGACAATATAAAAAAGTGAAAATTTTTATTTTAAAACTAATAAATAAACAATTCCTCAGTTGGTTGATAACAACGCAATGAGCTTAAGCTCACCGCCACGCACTAATTGTTTCATTTAATTAATTAATCTGTAAATAAGTCCAAGCCAATAGTCTTCCAGCCCTATACATTTGCAGAATTAGGAAATCTCAAACACCAATCAAAACTTCCAAACCAATAGAAGAATCCAACAACTAAGTACTTTAGTCGTAAGTGAAAATTTATCGAACGTGGAAGAGGATTAATAAATTTAATTACTTATTAGTGTATAATAATAATGGCACATTTCTTTTCTGTTTATTTTAATAGAAAATTCAAAGTTTGGCACATCACGGACAGGTTAGGAATGGAAAAAACACCCTTCACCCTTGAATTAGTACGCATTTTTGTAATTTTAGTCTTAAGATTGCATGCCTTGTAAATTTATTGTTTCTTAATTTCGTGTTTTCAAAAGTTACTCCATAGTGTTTTATGACTAATTTTTTTTAAACAAATTAACTAGTGTTTATTTCTCAGTTTCTACATCCTCTGTCCCATAAATTATCGTCTCACTTATTGTTAATGTTTTCGATAAATTTAGTTCGTTTTCACGTTTTCATTTACGATTTATAAAGTAAAATATTCTGGTCACAACTTGATATAATTTGTAATATGTAATTTGTGATGCGCTTTTGAAGTATGCTTTCGAAATTTGTAACCTGTACTATTAAAATATGTAATATGAAATTTTTAATTCTTTATTAATTTAATAGATGGAATGAGAATTCATTTACAAACGTTCAACTGGTTAGATTTAAAATGAGCAGTTATCTAGTTGAGGTGAAGTGTTAAGAAGTACGAGTATCTCATATCCGAAATCAAATAAAAAACGATAGGTATATTAGCTCTTGAGTTCAATTAAATAATTAATTAGATTTAATATTCTAATATAGTTCAGCTCAGGTGTCTTAAGAACCAGTGTTTTGCTTCATTTTAATGTTACAATGAACGTAGGACAAATAAAATGATCTGAGGAAATCCATTTTCTCACAAAGTGAAGGAAAGCCCTTAGTTTTTACAGGCTTATAATTTTAGGCAAAATCTTAAATGGTCTTTATTTCAATGTTAATTTTATAGATCTTACTATATAAATTCCAAAAGAGTTAGGTTCTTGCAAAAGAGAAAAATACCCGTGTAAGCCCAAAAAAAAATATAAGAAAACATATATTTAACCTATGAAGCTAAGAGAGAGAACCCATAATAGCTAAGAGTAAATTTTTTTGTATTATTATTGTTATTGAATGTATACCTAGCTTGGTTATTTAAAAATCCAATCCTCTCATATTTCTCATTTTCTTATCTCCAAAAAAAATATTGAAATGTTCCTCTTTTTGCAAATTTGCATACATCCAATCATATCCTTAACTAATTCATAGGCAACTTATTTTTTAAATTTCTTCTATCAATTAACGCAGCATGCAATGCATGAATTGGGGGAATGAATACGTACCATTTTTTCCATTAATATAATTAAACGTTCATACTCATTAATGCCAAGGGAATAGTCACAATCATAGTTTAAGTGGAGAAACTCACCTCACTTTATTTTTCATGTCTTAATTTAATATAGATTTAAAAATATATCGAAAAGTGAATAGTTTATGGTTAGAATTCCGGGTAAAGAGAATCGGTAAGGGTTACATATTTCATTTCAAAGAAAAAAATAATAATCATATTCGGTTGGGAATAAACATAGAGAAATTATAACATATGAATTCTATATTATATTTCTAACCCGAAATGGAATCATTGCCCCGGGTAATTCGGCAACGTGTATTATATATTGATATTATTGTATTGTAACTCCAATTTTGAGGACCGAACCTTGTAGTTTTTATTTTGACACTTTGGGAAAAATAAGATTGTACTCCTTCCGTGCTATATCTTTCTTCTCAAAGCACTATTCCAACTTCATGAGAATTTATATTTATTTGTGTTTATTCATGGTCACCACTTCTTTTGTTGAACTTTTGATGTAGTTTTTAAATATGTATGTTTTATTTTTTATTTCTATAACAATATTTAAATGAGATAGATTGAAAAAACTTGAAATTTTTCCTCATTTTGCGCAATGGAAAAAAAATATAGGACAAATGGAGTATCTTTTTTGGGGGAAAATTATTACGAAATATGTTTAAGACTCATTTACGTGAAAATTAACTAGCTTTTGGTAAATCACGAGTTGAAACAGATTCTGCGATTTTAATTTTTCCACTATTGGGTAATGGTTACGGGGGGGGGTCCTTTACGAGATGGGATTGATCGTTCTTTTTTAATGTTCAATTTTTTTTTTTTGTAAATCTCGTGAAATGGCCTTAGGTGGATTTCCAATGGGTGTAAAACGTAAATTAGTGCATTTCCGTATTAGTAACCGAAATTAATTCCTTAAAAAGGAAAAGGAAAAAAAAAGTAATTATGACACACATGACAGAAGACACCCCAAGTGAGGTGGGGTCAACACCCATCTGCCCCCTGCCGCTGCCACAAGTTTACCCAGAGATGGAAATTTGCATTTATTGTTCTTTCTTTCTCTTTTTTTTTTTTTTTGTAATAAGATCAGTATAAAAAATGGACTAAACAAACCATTTCTTCTTAACCACAACAATAACAATAGTTAATTAATTGATTAATGTAACCAAACCACCTCTGTGATTCACCGCTGCCGCTCCTAGCTGAGTCATCATCTTCTTCGTCTTCTTTAAATCAACTTAATTTAATAACTCCCCTGCAAATAATAGTAATAATGCTAATAAAAGGGTAAAATTCCCCCCCTCCCCCCCTCCATTATTATTATTATTATTATTATCTTCAATCTTTGCTTCAATCCATCCCCTCCCTCATTTCCCCTGTCTCCCATTCTCCCTCCCCTCCATGGCCATGGATAAGATTATGCTTCTTTTCTCCATGTGAGCATTTTTTGTTTTGTTTATTTCTATCTGTCTCCGGATCCATTCACAGGAATTTCACCCCCTCCCCGCCCCGCTGTTGGATGTTGTTTCCGCCATGGATTTAAGCAGCAGCTGCAACGCCGCCGCCGCCGCTACTGTCAAGACCCCTGAAGCTGAGACTGAGACCACCCCTGCTGCCACTCGGATCTACCCTGCTAAGCCCCTGTCTTACAGCAGCAACGGCGTGCTTAAGCGCCTCAACAACCCGCTCCGCCGTCGCCCCGGCGACGGCGCCCACTACGCCGTGGTTGTGCACTACCGGGAGTGTCT